GATGCTCCTTGCAATGGTTGGGGGCTGCTCTGTGGTGTTTGGGGCGCAGCTTTCCCCAGCGGGGACTGTCAGGGAGCAGCTTGGCGATCTTGGAGGTGTGACTGTGTTATTATCACCTCAGATGCRAGTTTGCAGGATTTGGGGTGCAGCTTTTGGTGTTTTTAGGATCAGAGTGACACTTTGCTGGTGCTTCAGGGTGTTTGGGGGCAGCTTCACTTCCCATTTACAGCACTGGGGTACAACTTTGCATCATGTATGTGACAATGAGGAGCAGCTTTGCCATRTTTGTAACATCAGGGAGCCACTGGGCAATGTTTGGGATGTGGCTGGGTGAGCTTTATCATCTTGGGGTGCAACTCTGCAGCATTTGGGGGCAGCTTCTCATCAAAATTACAACATCAGCATCCAGTGCTGCACCTTTGACACTACTGGGGTGCAACTTTGCCTTAAACAGGTAAGAAGCAACTTTTTTTCAACATGTTTATAATATCAAGGAGCAACTTGGCAACGTTGGGTCTATGGCTGTTGAATATTTACTGCCTCAGGGTGCAGGTGCAGGATTTGGGGTGCACATTTGCAATTCTTTACCACCTCAAGGTGCCAGTGCAGGATTTGGGGTGCACATTTGTAATTCTTTACCTCCTCAGGGTGCCAGGTGCAGGATTTGGGGTGCACATTTGTAATTCTTTACCTCCTCAGGGTGCCAGTGCAGGATTTGGGGTGCACATTTGCAATACTTCTCATATCCAGGGTATCACTTTGCCAGGGGCTTGACACATCTGATTTACAGCATTGGGGTGCAGCGCTGAACTGTGAAATATTGGGGTGCAACTTTGCTTCAGAAATGTCACATTAAAGAGCAACTTTSCTGTATATGGAATATCAGGGAGCAGCTTGGCAATGCTGGGGTGCAGCTGTGAGATTTTTCATCTCGGGGTGCCACCTCCCAGGATTTGGGGTGCAAATGTGCATCATTTATGGCATCAGGGTGCATTTCATGCAGTGGTTGGTGGCTGCTCTGTGGTGTTTGGGCAGCAACTTTGCATCTGATTCACAATATCAGGGAGCAGCTTGGCGGTGTTGGGGTGCAGCTGGGTAAGGTTTGTCATCTCAGGGTGCAGCCTTGTGGTATTTGGGGTGCAATTTTGCYGTATTTTGAGTAACAAAATACAACTTTCCAATTCCAGGGTACAGCTCTGCAGAGTTTGGGAGGCAGCTTCACATCCAATTTACAATATTGGGGTCCACCACCTCACTATTTATACAATTGGGGTGCAGCTTAGCATCATATATGTGTCACTAAGGAGCATTTCTGCCATATTTATGATACCAGGGTCATAAATGCAGTTTGGGATGTGGCTGTGCAGCGTTTCAGGTGTTTGGGATGCATTTTTTGGCTCATGCCATCAGGGGGTGCAGCTTTCCAACATTTCCTCGCCGAAAGCCGGGATTCTGCAGGGCTGGGGCTGGAACTTGGCGGGATCTGTGACCTTTTTGGCGGGGTTGGTAACCTTTGGGACYGTTTTTTGGGGCGGCAGAGCCCGTGGCAGCGGCTGGTGAAGCGGATGACRCGGTTCTTCACCAAGCTGGACGCCGACGGCTCGTACCGCGCGCTGAAGGAGGTGTGTGAGAAGATGGGCTACGGCTGGAAGATGAGCTGCACCAACCAGGTGGGACTGGGGCTGAAATCGGGGCTGGGACCTCCTGTGAGGGGTAAAATCTGGGGTGAGACCCCCTTTGGGGCATAAAATCAGGACTGGGACCTCCTGTGAGGGGTAAAATCAGGGCTGGGACCCTCTGTGGGGCGTAAAATCTGGGGTGAGATCCCCTGTGGGGTGTAAAATCAGGGCTGGGACCCTCTGTGAGTTATAAAATCAGGGTTGAGACCCTCTGTGGGGAGTAAAATCAGGGCTGGGACCCCCTGAAAGTTATAAAATCAGGATTGGAATCCCCAGTGAGTTATAAAATCAGGGTTGGGACCCTCTGTGGGGAGTAAAATCTGGGGTCAGACTCCCTGTGGGGAATAAAATCAGGGCTGGGACCCCCAGTGGGGAATAAAATCAGGGCTGGGACCCCCAGTGG